ATTTGTTCCAATTAGCCGATAGGGTTACCAAGTATGAAAAAATCTTACGAGAGGAAAACGAGAGGAAAAACTCCTCTCGGGGGACCTATTATAAGGACCCTAATTATGAAATACACATGGTTGATACAGTATATGATGACCTAGAGGTCGATGCTGTAGAAATTATTTCAAAAAAATCATATGTTTGTAAAGCTTTAGCTAAGCCCTTAGAGACTGTTAGCGGTGTTCAACCCTCATCATCTTCAGCCAAAAGGAATATCTTTGAGGCTGGCAAACAATATGCTTTTGATATAAGTAAAGCAGAGCAAATCTTTGACCATCTGTTGTCTGATAAAATTATCAAAGTCACTAGGGTACATAAAATACCTTCAGCTGATGAAATCAAGGGTCGAGAGTATTGCAAATATCATAACTCCTGGAATCACGCAATTAATAATTGTGTTGTCTTTCGTAATGTGATTCAGGCACAGATCGAGAAGGGGGCATGGAAGTTCCCGGAGAAGAAGAAAGAGGTGATGAGCGTTGACAGTGATCCATTCCCAACCTTGGTTAGCAGTAACATGGTCGAAATCTCAATGGCCAGCAGGCCACGGAGAAGAATTGATTTTGAGGATACTTCAGCTAACAGAGAAAGCAAGGCTGAAAGAAAGAAGCCAATGGTTAAGGAAACTCCAAGGTCTAAGGATGACTTAGAAAAGGAGTTGCGGGAGGCTCAACTGGCGCTGATCAAGTAAGGATTATGCCCTAAATGCAAGACAGACATTGGAAGGGACCGAGAGAGGTTCCATAGCGACGCTCGAGGACGTCCTGGAAGTTCACGTCATGAAAACAGACCTAGGTCACCCTCGTCTAGGGTGCCTGTAACAAGTCGATTAACATGGCCTGATAGAAGGTCTAATACCAATGAGCATCACAAGCGAAGGCGAGAAGTGAACTCCAACAGTCGGTCAAGGAATCTTACTCATGCTGTCTGGAAGCCGATGGAGCATAACTCAAATGTGGCTCGCCAGGCTGAGACATCAGTTAACCACCCAAACCATAGGCAAAGGATGGTCAAGCCACCAGTCACTGACGACGGTCGATGGTCAAGGGTGAGTCATCCAAAGTTCTCTAGGGTCAGGGATATCCCGCCAGCATTCATGACTCGCACTCAAGTAAGACGGTGGCAGCGGATGAAAACTGAGTTAAAGAGAATGGAAGAAAAATATTCAGCTCCACAGCCAGGGAAGGTGACTTTGCTTAGGAGAGAACCTATCAAGCAAGATTCAAAAAGTGATCCGAAAGGAAAATCCAAGGAAGATAGTACAGACGGAAATGGATGCACTGAAGAGAAATGTGCGTCTTCCTCCATGAAAGAAGCTGAAGATGAAGCAGGATTTGGTGATGACGAACTCGACCTGGATGACCAGGATGATGGTTCAAAAGGTATCAAATTTGGTTCATTTGAAGGAATTGTGAATTGCAATATTGTTCTTACCTTGCCTCATATTTTTGAGGCTAAACCTAATCAACCCTCCGCTATGGAAGGAGACGTCGAGGTGATCGATGATGAAGGTCAGGAAGTTCCAGAGATTATTGAGAACCCATCTGAGTTGGTCTCTGAAGATAAGAAACAGAAAGTCGCTGTGATAAGAGCTAAACCACGAGATGATGAGTCAGTAACTATTGGGAGAGATCAGGCGGCTAGGGTGATTTTTGAGAAGCCTTCTGCGACAATGTCTCAACACTTGAAACCACTCTATATCAGAGTGTTCCTAGAAGGGATGCCAGTGTCTCAGGCACTGATAGATAATGGATCTGCGGTTAATATCATTCCGATGAACACCATGAGGTTGCTGCAAAAAACGGAAGATGACTTGATTCCCATTGACTTGACAGTCAGTAATTTCACGGGGGGCAGAGCCAGGACCAGAGGGGTAGTCACCTTGGAAATGACAGTTGGAAGATGTAAGACCATGACTGCATTCTTCGTGGTGGACGCAGGGGCGGCTTACAATGCTTTGATTGGGCGTGATTGGTTACACCCACATTTTTGCATCCCTTCTACCCTCCACCAGTTTATGATTTTCTGGGATGGGGATGAAATCCAAGTCATATGGGGAGATAATAAGCCTTTCGAAGCTCGGGTCCATGTGGCTGATGCAGTTTTATATGAGGAGGAAATGGGTCCTGTGAGGCTTATTGGTTGTGACAAGTATGGCAAGCCTGAGAAGGCGACGATGAGGAAAAATCTGACAGACGGGGACTTATCCGATTTATTCAAGGAACTATCGAGGCCAAGTGTTATCTGCGAGCTAAGGCCGATAGTTGAAGTTGATGAACAACAGGTTGTTAATGGACCAAGCCCAAAAGGAGAAGGAGAAAATGCTAGCATTTAAAGCTAGCATGGCACGGCTGAGAGCATATCTCGTCGAAAGACGGGCAATATTGTGGAGTGATATGTCGGCCAATATGGCCTAAATCATAGAAGAAGGTGAGTCAGGGGATTGTTGAGATGTTATTCAGCTAGAAGAGCTAGATGCAGCTCCAGCTAAGCTAGAGGATCTGAAAGCCGATGTTCAGGATCCCTTGTTGGAGATCAATTTAGGAGCAGAAGAAGAGCCTCGGCCAACCTACATAAGTGATCTTCTAGAACCTGACTTTAAAGCTGAACTGATCTTGTTGCTTAGAGAATATAAGGATTATTTTGCTTGGAATTACACTGAGATGCCGGGATTACCAAGGCAGTTAGTCGAGCATCGACTACCTATAAAAGAAGGTTTCAGACCGTTTAAGCAAGCGCCTAGACGTATGTCAATAGAAGTGACTATGAAAGTGAAGGAGGAAATTGAGAGGTTGCTCAAAGCAGGATTCATCCGGACCACAAGGTATTGTGATTGGCTATCCAATATCGTTCCCGTGGTTAAGAAGAATGGAAAGATTAGGGTGTGCGTAGACTTCAGGAATTTAAATTTAGCTACTCCAAAAAATGAGTATCCAATGCCCATGGCCGATCAATTGATTGATGCGGCCGCCAAGAATGAGATTCTGTCATTCATGGACGGTCACTCAGGATACAACCAGATATTCATAGCAGAGGATGATGTTAACAAAACGGCATTTAGATGTCCGGGAGCCATAGGCACTTTTGAATGGGTGGTGATGCCCTTTGGTTTGAAGAATGCCGGAGCCACTTATCAACGAGCTATGAATGCAATCTTCCATGACATGATTGGGAAATTTATGGAAGTATACATTGACGACGTGGTGGTGAAATCAGCGACAAATGCGAAACATCTGGCCGACTTGAGGAAATCATTTGAGAGAATGAGAACCCATGGTTTGAAGATGAACCCACTTAAATGCGCCTTTGGAGTGACAGCTGGGAATTTTCTAGGGTTCTTGGTGCATCGGAGGGGTATCGAGGTCGACAAGAATAAAGCTAGGGCGATCATCGAAGCTCAACCACCTCGCAACAAGAAGGAGTTACAAAGACTAATTGGTCAAATCACATACTTGGGAAGATTTATTTCAAATCGTGCTGGAAAGATCCATACCTTTTCTCCGCTCTTAAAGCTCAAATCAGAGGAAGACTTTCGATGGGAAAAGCATCACCAATATGTGTTTGAATCAATCAAGGAATATCTTGCTAACCTTCCTGTCCTTATGCCACCTAGGAAGAAACAGCCGCTGAAGTTATATATTTCAGCTGCGGATGAGTCAATCGGAAGTTTGTTAGCCCAGGATAACGAAGTAGGGAAAGAACAGGCGGTGTATTACCTTAGTTGTATTTTGACACTGGTTGAGCGTCGATATACGCCAATCGAAAAAATGTGTCTTGTTTTGTATTTTGCTGCTCACAAATTGAGAATATATATGCTACCTGTTTTAGTTTATGTGATTTGTGCCACTGACTTGATTAAGTATATGCTTTCTCATCCAATAATTTCTGGACGAATAGGCAAGTGGTCTTTGGCCCTTATGGAATTCAGTTTCAAATATGTGCCTCAAAGGGCCGTAAAGGGCCAAGCACTTGCTGATTTCCTAGCTGACCATCCATGCTTGGATGTTGATCCGGGAGTCTATGATGCAATGGAGTTATGTGCTATTCAACTAACTCCTTGAACTCTAATTTTTGACGGATCCAGCGCAAATGATGTCGGGGGAGCTGGAGTTGTAATAATTGCGCCAAATGGCAGGAAAATAACATATTCTTTCTTTCTAGATTTCAAATGTTCTAACAATCAAGCAGAATATGAAGCTCTGATTATTGGTCTTGAAATACTCTTAGAGATGGGGGCACAGACCGTTGAAATCATAGGTGATTCAAGTTTGGTAATCGGTCAGTTGTCCAGCAATTTCAGGTGCCAAAGTTGGCACCTCAAACCATTCCACTCTATAGCCATGCAATTACTACAAGAATTTGCAGAGGTAAAGGTCAAGCATGTTTATAGATTGCATAATAAAGAGGCCAATGATTTGGCTCAAATAGCATCTGGCGTTAGGGTGCCAGAAGGAATAATGGAGAATTTGATCAGAATAAATAGAAGATCATTACCCTCAGTTAAGGCGAGGGAAGAATTGTTGGCAGAGGTCTTTGCAATCGACGTGGAAGAGGATATAGAAGAGAATGATTGGAGAACACCAATCGTCGATTTTCTCAAAAATCCAAACCCTAAGGCTGACAAGAAGCTAAAGATCAGAGCTCTTAAGTTTGTGATGATTGATGGAGACCTATTCAGGAAAAGCATTAAAGATGACCTACTCTTAAGGTGTGTCAGTAAGAAAGAAGCCATGAAAGTAATGGGAGAGACCCATGAAGGGATATGTGGTGCTCACCAAGCTGGAATAAAATGAAGTGGCTGATTAGAAGGTACGCCTATTACTGGCCCGGGATGCTTAAAGATTGTATCACATATGCCAAAGGATGTCAAGCATGTCAAAGGCATGGGCCAATCCATAGAGCCCCGGCGATTGAATTACAACCAATCATAAAACCACGGCCTTTTAGAGGATGGGCTATGGATTTGATAGGGAAAGTTTATCCACCTTCTTCTAAACAACATTGTTTTATCATTGTGGCAACTGACTACTTTACCAAGTGGGTCGAAGCGGTGCCCATGAAGTCAGTGCACCAAGAAGATATGATTCGGTTTATCAAACAACATGTTATTCATAGATTTGGGATCCCAGAATCAATCACAACTGATCGAGGTTCAGCCCTTGTTGCCAAAGAAGTGCAGGCATTTGCAGCAGAGTACGGGATCAAGCTCCTAAACTCAACCCCTCACTTTGCACAAGGAAATGGTCAAGCCGAGTCGTCTAATAAGACGCTAAAAGGCATCATTGAAAAAATGGTGGAAGATAACCCTAGGGTGTGGCATTAACTGTTATCAGAAGCACTTTGGGCATATAGGACTTCTCAACGGTCAAGCACAGGTGTGACTCCATTCATGCTCACCTATGGTCATGATGCAGTTTTGCCTATGGAAGTGACTGTACGGTCAATGAGATTCGCATTGCAAAACAATTTGACCCCTGCTGAATATAATGAGTCTATATTGGTCGAATTGGAGGACCTAAACGAAGTAAGGTTAAGGGCTCTTGACCACATACAAGTTCAGAAAAGGCGAGTAGCAAAGGCATATAACAAGCGTGTTAGGGCCAAAATCTTGGGTAAAGGTGACTTGGTTTGGAAGACTGTCCTCCCAATGGGTGTGAATGATTGAAAATATGGAAAATGGTCACCAAATTAGGAAGGTCCATTTATGGTTTACAAAGTCTTAAAAGGAGGCGCATATCATTTGCAAGATCTTGACGGGGAAATACACCCTTGACCGATTAATGGCCGATACTTAAAAACTTATTATCCTACAATGTGGGAGACAATGGAGAATAAAACCAAAGATGGTTAAATAACTAGAAGCCATAAAGACATGCATTTCATTCGTTGTTTTCATTGAGTACAAAAGTTTATAAGAGTCATTACCTATCATTTTCTTTGCAGATAAACAAAATGACTCCTGAGCTCATCCCACTCTTTCTTAGACATGGCCATTTTTTCATCCTCTTTGACCTTCTCAGCCCTCAGTCGAGGAATTTCTTTTGAGACCGATTCTCTCTGCTGATCAATTTCCACATTCTTTTGATAAATCTCCTTCATCTGAATAGCGAGTCCTTCTCTTGACCGGGCAGTTCCAGTCAATTCCATCTTGAGACGTTCTATTTCCCGTTCGATCTCTGCTGCTCTCTGGTTTTCCTTAACATGAGTTAATTTTAAGGCCCGAAAATGGGAAACATTGTCTTTCTCTTGTTGAATCAAAGATTCTTGCTCCTGCAGCTTTTCATGGATCGTAGACGACAGCTCACCAGCCTTCTGAGAGGAGAGCTGAAAATCAGAGACGAGAGTCGGGAATCGACTCTGGACAGATTGAAGATGGTTTATCTGTTCTTGACTTAAGTCATGATGATCTATCAAGACGGACATGGCATCAGTCACATCAGCAGCCAAACTTGGCATCTCAGAGAGGTCTCGGGACACGACGGCGACTAGTAATCTTTTTGCCCCCTCAATATCTGGCAAACGACTGGAAGACGTAGGTACAACAACTGGCTCACTTATCAAGGGATCTAGATCAAACCCAGCCGCTATCTCGGAAAAGTAGGCATCAAAGTCATCGATCGTGCTATAAGTGTGAAGGGGCGGTTGGGACTGAGAATTTGAGCAGGCCTGTGAATGAAAGGAATTTAGTAAAACAAGTCAAGGCTTGAATGAAAGAATAAGTCATAAATACTCACACCAACTGGTAAAGGCCGAGTCACGTGGCCAAAGGTGCGTCTGATAGCAAACGCTGGTGCAGAGTAAGGGCTTGGAACTCTTGGTTGTGTGCCCGGGGCAACCTGCAAGAGAAAAATGTTTCTGAATGCCTAACTTTGATAAAGATATATGGGAGATGTACTGAAAGATCATCTTGAAAATCACCTCAGCCCCATCAAACTGATGAAAGACAGTGTTTGGTTGAGTAGTGGCTTGTTGACACTCGACTCCACTAGTGCGAGGGTGATCAGCATTCGCAATGTCATCACAAATGTTGATCCTATCTCTTGACAACAACCTAGCCGAGTGTGAGGAAACCTGTCCGTAAATATGCCATTAGAATTGGCAGGGTACATTGATACTGGAAGTAAAAACAAAGCCTAATTACCTCACGGCTGGTAGAGATATTTGTCTCAACTGAGAAAGTCGATGGCATCAAGGGGTCAGGATTTTCTTCCTCCTCTTCATCGATCAGAGGTAAAGGGTTGGTGGTCCTGACTGAGGTAACCTGTGTTTTTCCTTTCCCTGCCCTGATCACCTGGAATACCGTTGAGGTTAAAAAAGGGGTATATAGGTGGTACATACAAGTAAGCTAAAGTTCTAAGAGATTATGCTTTGAAAAATTCATAAGGAAAACCTTAGGCCTCTTGGGGGGCACCACGTTTTCCTCGTCAGCCTCAGGCGTCTCCGCCTCATGATCAGAAACTCCCAATGGGTCATAGAAGTCAACAGCTGCAAAAAGGAAAAGATGTTTTTATGATCTAAGGCATAGAACTTGGTATTTATATATATGTAAGTATGAGTGTGTACCTTCTTTGGACGACTTTGATTTTTTCATCCTGCTGGGAGAACCAGGATTAGCCACACTGATCCCTTTTGATGGCTTAGTCGAGGCTCCTTGGGGTTTAATGAAAATGGAGACAATCCTATTTGTTATAGTGCGAGAATCTTCCACCATAACCTCCGCAATATGGTTTCCCCACCAGTAGTCAAAGGATGGAGAAGTATCAGGATTTTCCAAAAATGGCTGCAAAGAGAATTTGTTACAGAGACGGTTAAACCGGGAGGATACTCTATCCACCGTTTTTTTGAGGTGAAGACTACTCGTTCCAAGAAAGAAGTATTGAAAGATCGAAAAGGCGGAAGTGGAACGAGTTGGGTGAGACCAAATTGTCTAGCAAATTGTGGGGGATTGTAATACTCCACCCCACACTTACTATTTGGAGAGCCCATTCTTGAACATCCATAGGAGATGTCCCTAGCAATCAAGAAACTGGCCCAGGTTTGTGTATGTTCGTCTTGGCAACTCGGTGGAGCCTGGGCAGGGGGATAGGAAAGCCACAAAGGTCGCCTCGGTCTAGGCAAGAATAGCAAGAAAAGATGACTGGCCCGGTATGCAGGGAGTTTGTAAAAGAAGGAGAACATGGTTTTGAACGATCTTTTTCCTGGTTGAATACGTGCATAATGATAGCCGGGAACAGGAACAGCGGTCGACAAGTCGAGATCGGGGTAAAGTTCAGGGAAATATGCGTATTCCCAAAGTTGTAACAGCCAGAATGGCCCAAAACAGGTTTTGAAGTTGGAAGCAACATATTCCCCGATGCCACGGTAAAGATAAGAATGCAAAAAAGGAGCGAGAGCAAGTTTCTCGCCCGAGTGAAGAGCAAGGGCCAATTGAGTAAATTCCTTAGTGACTGTGAGCGAAGAAACGCAAAATAAGAACCTGTTCAGCCAGTACACCAAGAAAGAAATATGCTCGGCGATGGAAACCGAAGTTCCTTTACCTTTGCTGGCTTTAATAAAAGGGCCATGGGTAGTAATGCGCTCAGAAGCGTCAGGTTTCTTTGGATATTCATAAGCTACTTCAGGAACGGTGAGAAGTGAATTTATTTCCGTACCATGGGGCCTAAGCCCGGTAAGAAAACAAATATCTTGCACTATCGGACCAATCATACCACACCGAAGATGGAAGGCATTGGTGGAACTCGACCAGAAAAAGAGTAATGAGACGAGAGCCTCCTTATCGATAGAGATTCGATTTTTTGAAAGAATGATGGCATCATAAATGCCGACCTCCTTCCATAATGCTCCGTAGTGAGGTTCGACCCGATCGACCCAATCAATCCAGTCACTTTGAGGGATCGGGCAATTTTTGAAAAGGTAGGAAGAATCCACAAGATTAGAGAACTCGCGCTGAAATGGGAGTTGCTCCTCAGCTAAGGGACAGTAAGGAAGAAGTGAGGTTGGTGGACTATCTCTGAAGGCTGGAGCAAGGCCGGTTCTAGGTGAGGAATCAGCACCTAAGACACTGGCTAACACTTCACTAGTGCTGAAAATATCTGTAGCGATGATCTCGTTGACGAGTTTTTGAACAATCCCGGCTTGACTGGAAGATTTGTTACTAGCCGAAATTGACATATTCTCAGCAACGATCGTTACATCTTTATTACCACCCATCGCCGAGATTCTGAAGGACAGAAAATAAAGCTGTGTTCTCTACGATGAAGCTTTATTAAGAATAAATGGTCTTTAAAGTGCGCTGGATATGTTTCTTGTTTGTGGGACAAGACGAGCTAACATTCTGCTGTGCAGTTTTTTTTTTTTTTTTTTTTTTAATTTGAAAAAAAACATGCAACTATCAGGCAAATTTCACAGAGATGTTCTGCAATTTTTGTGGCGAAGCTACAGAGGGTTTTGTTGGATATGGTGTTGACAATGCTTGGTAGAGGCAAGTGTTATATATATAGAGCAATTAGCTAGGCTTAGCTGGCGAAATACTGTACCCAATGAAAACGCCACAGGATTATGAATGTACTTGGAGCCGCCTAAAAACAGGCTAGCTTAAAAATCCAAGGATATATAAAGAATAAATTAGGGTATTGGAAATCAACGTGTCAGCAAATGAGATTTATTATACATCCTTAAGCCACAGGCTAATGTGTTCTTCACTTGAGTGCAACCCGTATCTGTTGACATGTTATTGAGCACATGGTTTTGGGGTTTGTTTCTCTCTTGTCTTGTCAAGTTAAATTGCAGATAAAGACGTACGTTGAGCTCCAAATCCATTTGTTCTGACAGTAAAGTGGTTGTGTTTGTACAGAGCTAATAGAAATATAAATATATATATATATGTGCATATTTATATTCGCACATGTTTATATTTACAAGAGGCCACGTTTAGTCGAAGCAGACCAACCATGTCTGCATTAGTTGCGTGTTGTACACAACTATATCCAAAAAGATATGCATTAAGCTCCCAAACAGCCAGCCGATTGAGATGAGACACCAAGGACCATTCACGTGCTCAAGTACATGATAGCACCTACCTCTGACTAGTAACTTAATTTAAAATATGGTCAACACCCATTAAAAAATGGGTTTGCTGGGCACATGATATTGCATCATACATATGTGTTGTATAAAATAAAAATTTATACATATATATATGTGTATATTTATGCTCATATTGCAGATGTATATATCTACAAAAAGCACAATAGCATTGAAAACGTACCCAGTTTCAACATGTCTCCCTCAAATCCGGCGAAAGCCGAACTACCACCGGTCGCCGTCCTCGCCTTGCAATCATTTTGACGCCGGCGAAACTCTGTGATCAAGGCTCCGAAGTCCAGCTCAGTTAATGAAATGGGTCGCCGTCGCCGTCGCTGGAGGAGCTGCATGGCCGGGAAGCTAGATCATGGTTCGGTCATGGGTTTATCTGTCATAGAGCTCGCCAATGTCACCAATGAGAATGGTTGTTGCGACAAGGAGTTCATGTTTCAGTCACTTCCATTTTGCCCACCCAAGTCGAGAGTTTCATCTGGAAATACACCAGTGCCGACCGTTTTCTCCATGATCGACGCCTATTTGGGGACAAACAAGTACGCAGCTTGTAACCATCACCTGAGAGTT